GAGCCCTTCCTACCCTTTTGTCCTCCACCCCCTCACATCAAGCGCCCTCATTCTTCTCTTTCTAGCTGAATTGTTTCTGTTGCTCACTGCTGTGGTTTGGCTCTGGAATGTTCTCTAAAGTCTCATGTGTCAAAGGCTTGGTTCCTCAGTAGCAGCCGTGTTGAGAGGTGGGGAATCTGGGAAATGATTGTCCTCTGAGGGCTCTGACCTCATCGAGGAATTCATCCACTGGTGGATTAATAATTGGATGACATTATTAGGAGATGGTGGAAACTGTAGGAGGGAGGGCCTAGCTGAAGGAAGCAGGTCACTGGGCTGTGCCCTGGAAGGGCAGATCTTATCCTTGACTGCTTCCTCTTGCTCTCCACTTCTGGGCTGCCATGAGCTGAGCAGCTCTAATTGGCTACACTCTCTGCTTTGCTGTTCTCCCTCACCTCAGGCCCGAGCGATGGAGCCCACTGACTACAGACTGAAATCTCTGAAGCCACGAGCCAGGATAAATCTTTCTTCCAATAAGTTGATTTCCTCAGGTATTTGTCACAGCGATGAAGAACTGACAAACATATTCACCCAATGCCGTGGAAGCAAAACCCAACCCACAGGAAGCATTTGGGCTGTGATAACAATGTCAGATGTATTTTGTTTCTTGATTCTGAATCTTGGACCAAGTTGGGGCTGGGAATTCTATAGCATGTTCTGTTAAATAAAAAAGTCAGACAGCTTTTGCTATCTGAAACCTCTTTAGAGCTCTTAGTGATGGGATCTTGGCTAAGAGACAGGGAAGAGCTCCCAAAGATTCACCGGAGCCTCAGCATGTACCAGGGAAACGTGCCCCATGCACATGCACCTTCGGAGCCAGCTGGCAGCAGAGGTAGGCAGATACATCAAGGCAATAGGAGGCCGGGGTAAGTATTCACAAGAGAGGGAAGGAGGCTGAGAAATTTGTCATGTCATCGATACCCACCCTCCTGCCTGCAGCCTCATGCAGTTTTCTGGCTTCTGTGGTTTTAAACCATTTTGATTAGCACCATAGGGAGAAAATCCATTTCTAGGTTTCTTCCAGGGTTAAAGGACTTGGGTTAAACCTTCTGAAAGAGATATGGTTTCCTGATGCCTACTGAGTTCACTTGGGATGCAATTTCAGAGCGATGTTGAACAGTACTTGGAGCGAAAGAAAACCTTAATAGCCTCTGGAGGACACCCCATAGGGGTCCAGGCTGAAGAGTAGGTGGGGTATGTGTGAGAAGACGGGTGGTAGTTTTCTAGTAGTTTCATTAAACTGCCACTTGATTCAACATGGTGGAATTTCTTGGTTTCTGAACATTTTTAGCTATGCAAATTTTGTTCAAGCAAAGCGCCCATAGAAACCTGCTCTGCAAATGTGAAGAGGCCCTGGTTAAAGAGAGGGGTAGGGAGCCTGGAGACCTGAATGCTCTTGTCCCTTCTTCTCCATCCTCTAGAATTTCAGAAGGAATCAATCCTTGAAACCCTCAGGCCAGTTCAAAGATTCCTGGGGCAGTTTTAAAAGACACAAAATTTGAAATCTGTTGAAGTCAATGGCCCAACAATTGATTGACCTCTTGAGCCTCACTAAGTTGGATATCATAAAATTAATTGCTTAACAATAATAAATTATAAACATAATTGTCAATAAATCTTAAATAGCGTGTGGAAAACGGCTTAGAGTAGGTGCCCATAAATAGCCTCTAACAAGCCATGCTTTGCTGGGGTTCATAGGAATTAAAAAATGATTGAGAGACTTTTCGAAGCTGAGGGTCTGGTCTCTACCATGGGCAGGATAGAATATGAACTACACGTGATAAAACAAAGTGCCACGGGAGGAAAAAATGGAGGAAATGAACATTTCTAATCAGGTGTTGCTGACACTGCCAGTTGCCTATCCAATATCTTTTCCCCATGTCTTCCTTTGTAATAGAATCTTCAATTTCCATCTGAATCATGATTGCCTGGTATAGAAACCACACTTCCTAGCATCCCTTGCAGCTAGTGGCTCTGTAAGTTCTGGCCAATGAAATGTGAACAGAGTGGAAAGTGAATTTGGAGACTCTTGGCATTGCCCTCTGCCTCCCTCCCCCTGGCCCACTTTCTCCATCTCATTGCTGGGACTGCATGGCTGAGTGGTTTTTTTTCTGGTAGTTTCATTAGCACCCTGCAGAAGGCCGTGGATCAATGGAATCTTTGAGTATGGAAGGGGTTCATATCCCCAGTGCCTCACAAAGTGTCCTTTCAGCTGTTCCATCCAGGGGCAGCTTTATTCCCAGGAGGCTAAGTGGATTTGTGATTTTAAACATCCCACAGCCCCAGAAGGTCCCACTGATGGTGAACAACTCTGATGTCCAGGGTCTCAAGAAAGGATCTCGATAATATTTCTAAGTATTCAGGATGCAATTATGGGTTTGCAGGGTGGAAGGCGGCAGGAACTGGTGGGCTCTCTCTCTCTCTCCAATCTCACTAAGACCTTGAGAGAGAGAAGTCCTGAGCTTGTGGGGCTCTCCTGGATACAGAAGGGGATCCCGTGGAGAGCGGGTGTGCCAAGAGCCAGGTCCAGAGGGAGGGTCAGGGCTTCTCCTCCAGTAGCTGCCTGTTGAGATTACTCAATCAGGGTCTAATTCCAGGAGAACAAATAGCTGGGAGACTGGGGGTGAGATGAAGAAGGAGGTCATCCCAGGCCCAACTAGAAGGAGGCACTGAGGGGCGGGGGGAAGGGGAGCTACTCTGAGACTCTTGAAGGAACTTGAATTCTCTGAATCCAGCGTCACCAGGTGGACTGAGATGGAGCCCACAATTCTTGAGGGAGTGACAGAAGTTCTGTCTAACCAAACTGTGCCTCCCTGTCATTGCTTGGAACTCTGCATTTATGACAGGGCCTGAGATTTCATCAATATGAGTGGCAGAGAGAGTACCTATCTCCTTTTTCAAGAAGTAGCAATACTCCAAGGATTAGGATCAATTCAATCATCAGGGTGTCCTGTGATCACCATCTCAAGAAAATGGGAATGGAGTTGAGGAGAAAAGGAGGAGAGAAGGAAACATTTAAAGGGCAGAGGGACACCAGAATGAGGGTTTTGACAATCAGGGGTACCATGAGGGCAGAGACAATGAACATTTATTGACTGTCTCCTATGTGCCAGGTATTATGCCATCTTTAGGGGCAAACCTATGGCTGCTCTTCATTCATTTTAAGACGGTGTTCCCCAGATCTTGTTCCTTTCTCTTGTTACAAATTTTAGAAATGGAACATTGTCTCTCTCCTTTGGAAAATGGGGCTCTCCCCACTTAAACCTTCTGCCTGGCCCATGGCTCTGGGTGACATTGTCAGGGAGTGGTCTGCAGGGGTCCTCTATGGCAAGAACCTCCATGGTAGAGGGTCTGTGCTCTGCCTCTCAGAACCACTGCTGCCCCCAGGGCTCTGCTCACCTCTGATTCTGCCAGGGCAGTCCTGTGCTGGGCTCTGCTAGTCCGGGTGGGAGAGGCTCCTTGAGGGGAGGGCTTGGGGAATCTTGAATTATGCAAAGTGGCTCATGTGTGTGGCTCATGGCAACCATTGGTGGAGTGATGCACCGCCAGAGGAGAAATGTGGCTGGCCACAAACAGCAGCCACAAACCACACCTACGGGCAGCCGCAGAGGGGCAAGAGGAAGACTCCCTGCCTCCTTGGCCTGGGGCCTTCTTTCTTCTGCACTTCTCAGCTGTAGAGTTGATGGCTGTGGTCTCTTGAGGGATTTGTTCAAGGGCTCTTTGGCCACTAAATTTATTGGCCTCTTACTGAGCCTAGGACTTGTACTAAATACACGTATGAATTTAATGAATCCTCCCAGTAATTCTAAGAGGTAGGTGCTGTTATTATTATTAATCCAATTTTATAAATACGGAAACTGAGGCACAGAGAAGACAGGAAGCAGCAGACCCAGGATTCCAGCCCAGCCTCTCTGACTTGTGTCCTTGAGATTATCCACCTGCTCTATGGCCTCTATTCATTCATGAAATACTGAAGGCTGAAAATGATTTTGTGAAGCATGCATCAGAAGGGCCTCCGAGCTGTCCCTATAATCCTCTATCCCTCCAAGCACTTTGGCATATTGCATCTTTATTTTTTAATATTTTTCTTTAGTTGTAGATGGACACAATGACTTACTTCATTTTTATGTGGTGCTGAGGATTGAACCCAGTGCCTCACATGTGCTAGGTGAATGCTCTACCACTGAGCTACAGCCCCAGCCCAGCATATTACATTTTTTAGCATATTGTATCTTTTTTTTTTTTTTTAGCATATTGCATCTTAACAAGCTTTCTTCGGAGGGCATGACAGAGGTGGCAAAATAACCAGAATTGTGGGAATTTTGCTTAATTCTGTTTCTGCCCACGTATGCAAGTGTCACCTATCATGAAAGAGACAATTCTTTACCAAAGTCTGATTCTTCTTTTTCCTGGGCACAGAGCTACAGCTCCCAGACTCCGTCACAGTTTATCGTGACAAAATGACCAGCTCTTGTCAATGGAACTTGAGCAGAAGTGATGTGCCTCCCTTCCAGGCTCCTCCCTGGGCTCTGCCCTCTCCACTCCCTTTGTCCCTGTTCATCCACTAGATACCTGTAGCATGCGGGTGGAGGGAATGGAAGAGCCACCTAGTGGACAGAGCCTGGGTCCCTGTCCTGAGAAGGACACAGCAACTAAGAACAGCCATCTTGGACTCTTGAACAAAAACCTTGATGGCCGTTGAGCCAGCGTATATTTTGGAGTCGACCTATTGCCACAGACTAGTCTGTCCTAAAACACCATTGTCTTTGCTGACAGTCAAAAGTTGAGATTGGTCACCTTTGAGAACAATAAAAATCCACCAAGGGGCTTCTGGAAACTTCTAATCTCTCAGTGGTCCCATGTACCAAAAGCCAGGTCCTCCCTCCCCTGCCAGGCTGTGTCCCCAGGTCAAGAGCAGAGGAGGCAAAGCCATAGGAAAGCCAGCGCATGCATTACATTACCACATCTGTTTCCTTCAAGAGAGGTCCCATTTCTCTTGGGGCTGGAGGCTGGGGGCCTCAGTCCAGGTGCTGTGGAGCCTCCAGAGGACACAGGATTGGAATGGGGACCACTGGTGATGGTGGCAGGGCCTCCCCCAAGGTGGCCATCTCCAGAGTTCAGCCTCTTGCAGTAGAGTGAGGAGGGGGTGGGCAAGGAGCCCCTGTGGCCAAAGGAGGAGGTGGAGGGGTCCATACTGTAGCGGTTCATGGCCACGGGGCTCACCAGGCACTCTTCGGTGGGGACCGTTTTGGCTGAGTGGGAAAGCAGCACAGAAAGAGACATCAGAGCAGTTCGGGAAGCCACCTGAGCCTCGCTCCTGGCAAGCCCTGCCTGCCCTGGCAGCAGGGTCACCTCTATGTGGGAGGGTGGGAGAGGAGAAATGAACCCCACTGATTCATTCCAAATGGCACACTGTCAGCAGATGGAGACAGCAGCCTCGCCATTTAAAGCGTATTTTAGTAGCAAGTGGGAGATGTGTCCTTCGTGGTTATAGGGGAAAAGTTATTATCTTGGCTACTGATGACTTGGAAATAAAATCCAAACCAAAGCCTCTTGGCATTACCCCCTGCCCCCCTTTCCTACCATCTGGTAGTCTCTGCTGGCTGGTCACCTGTCCCTGCTCACTCCCCTCTTGTCCATCACCACTGCCCCCCTCCTGGGGTCAGGATTCCCAGGATAGATCAAACAGGAGTCACTGTGTCTCAAAAGTTGGGAGAATCAGCTTTGGCTGGGGTTGTGACATGGGTTAATAGTGCTTCCTCCCCACATGCTCAGATCTAATACATCAAGGACACAAATGCTGATTGGACAACCCAGGGTCTTTCTCAGACTCTGCATGTGAGAGCCAAAGAACCAGTCTGATGTGCAGCGGGGTGGAGGACCTGAAGAGTCTGGGGACCCCAACATCCATTCCCCAAGTCCATCAGGACTTTCCAGTCCTTTAAAGCTCAACCTTGAAGTCTGTTAAACTGTCTGTGATCTATATCTGTGGCCCAATTGGTGATTTCTTTGTTTTTTATGTTTGTTTTTTTTTTTTTTAACAAAGTCTTGAGAAATTATGGAGCTAGAAAGAGGAAGAAATTATTCTAGTTTGGGACTGTGGTGTGGCTCAGCGGTAGAGCACTTGCCTTTGCACGTGGGAGACCCTGGGTTCGATCCTTAGCACCATATAAAAATAAATAAAGATATTGTGTCCAACTACAACTAAAAATAAATATTAAAAAAGAAATTATTCTAGTTTCTCCCACCCTAGACAAAATCACGTCTGTATAGCCTCATCAATAATTATCTGTATATTAAACATCATCAAAATAGATCTTAATATCCCCCCCCCCAAATGCAACCAGAAACAAAAAGACAACACTCTAAGATCAGCAATAGAGACACACATTGGGGCCACAAGATCCGCACGTCTTCTCCATGTTTGGATTCCTCCCACAATGCAGGTATTGAAAAAATGAGAACTGGGAGAACTAGTCAAATTTCTCACAGTTGAGGAGACACATGGAACTGGATGGGAAATAAAACCCAGTTCAGGGGGCGTGCAGCTAAAGCAGTGCTTAGAGATAAAAATCATTGCTATAAATACATTTCAAAGCAAGGCAAATCTCAAATGAATAATGTCTTAAGACCCTAGGAAAAAAAGAGCAAATGAAATTTAAAGCAAGCAGTAAAAAAGGAAATAACAAAGATTCGAGCCAATAGTCATTCAATAAAATAATGAAGCCAAAAGCAATTCCTCAAAAGATCATTAGGATTAACAAATCTTTAGCTAAATTGACCCCAAAAAGGGGAGAAGACAACAACAACTCAAATTACTAGAATCAGAAATGAAAAAGGAAATATTACTACCAATTTTAGACAAATAAAAATTATGAAGGGATACATGAATAACCATGTGTCAATAAATTATGTAACTTGGGTGGAAGGGATTAACTATTGGAACTGACTCAAAAATAAAGACACAATCTGAGAAGATATACTGCAAATAAAGAGATTGAATTAGTAATAAAATGAAAACTTTTCACAAAGAATGACCAAGCCCAAATGACTTTATAGGTGAATTCTATCAACATGGAAAGGAAAAAAACAATAATATCAATTCTTCACAAATTCTTCCAAAAAGTGAAAGAGGAAAGAATAACTTTCTAACCAATTCTATGAAGCCAGTGTTACCCGGATGCCAAAACCAGATGGACATCCCAAGAAAACTATAGACCAACATCTTATTTATGTGGATAAGGAAATCCTCAAAAGAAAATACTAGCAAAATGGAACCCAGCCACACATAAAACAATTTATTTATATACCTTGACCAAGAAGGATTTGTCCTAGGAATGCAATGTTGATTAACATCCCCAAGTAATGTTATAAGCCATTTCAACAGAAGAACCGAAACAACGCAAAGACTACGCGATCATCCCAAGAGATGCAGAAAAATATTAGACAAAATCCAAAATGCTTTCAAGATAAAAATCACTCAACAAACCAGGGAACTTCCTCCACCTAAAAGGGTATCTGCAAAACCCTGTAGCTGACATCATAGTTAATGGTGAAAGAATGAATTCTGTCCCCCTAAGAGTGGGAACAAGCCAAGGATGACCATTCTTGCCACTTTTATTAATATCGTTCTGGAGGTTCCAGCCAGGAAAATTGGGTAAGAAAAAGAAAATAAAGGCTTCTCGATTGCTATGAAAAAGTAAAACTATCTCTTATACGTATCAAATGCTAAGGAATCTAATTAAAAATTATTGGAACTAACACATCAGTTCAACAAGATCGCAGAAAACAAAATCATCATGCAAAAATCAATTGTATTTCTATACACTTTCGTTGAGCAATATGAAAATGAGATCATTTAATATGTGATCTTTCATGGCTGGCTTCTTTCACTTAGCATAGTGTTCCAGGTTCATTCACACTGTAGCATGTGTCAGTAACTAATTCCTGTTAGTGCTCAAGTAATATTCCATTGTATAGAATGCCACATTCCCCCCCACCCCCATTCATCAGTTGATAGCCATTTGAGTTGTTTCCACTTTTTGGCTAACATGAATAATACTGTCATAAATATTCATATACTGGTTTTTGTATAGTTACTTCTTTGCATTTCTTTTAGAGTGTATACCTAGGAGTATAATTGCTTGATTATATGGTGATTCTACCTGATGATTTGATTTATATGGAATGTCCAGGATAGGCAATCTATAGAGACAAAAAGAGATTAGTGTTGCTTAGGGATTGGGGTTAGGGTGTAGGGCACATAGCTAAAGAGTGTGTGGCTTCTTTTTAAGGTAATAAAAATGCTCTCTAGTTGACTTAGTTGATGACTACCTATCTCTATGAATATGGCAAAAGCCATTAAATTGTATTCTTTTTAAAAAAAAATTTTTTTTAGTTGTAGTTGAACAGAATGTCTTTATTTTATTTATTTTCATGTGGTGCTGAGGATCGAACCCAGGACCTCACACATGCTAGGCAAGAGCTCTACTGCTGAGCCAAAACCCAGCCCCCTGAATTGTATTCTTAAGTGGGAAAGTTGTATGTGTGAATCACGTTTCAAAAAGCTATTAAAAAAAAAAAAAAGATGTTGGCAGGAGCCCAGTGCTTCATGGACTTCAGGCTGTGAATACCATCCCAAGAGACAGCATTGCTTGGGCACTAGGACCCAGTAAGGTGAGAGCCTAAGGGTGGATGCTAGTGGGCATCTAGTGAAGTGCTGCAGGATGTCTTTGGAGACCTGGAACTTGCACTTCTGTCTTGGTGGCCTCTCCTGCATCTCCTCTCTTTGGGTCCTAAGCCATCAGAATGAAGACTCTAAAAAGGAACTGGCTATCGAGCCATATACCAAGCTGCTTCTGGAATGGATTGACAGGAAAGGAAACTAATGTTCATTGAGCACCTACTATAGGCCAGCACCATTCCAAAGCCAGCAAGCAGTAAGGCTGTCCTTAAGTTTCCTTCCTTATGAAGTTCTCATAATCTGGGACACCAATCCTTCCCAGGTTCCATATGGTAGATGCTTTGGTACAGGTGAGGAAGCACAGCAAGGTCTGGCATGGTACTTGGCCTAGAGGAGGGGCTTGAGAAATATTTACTGAGTAAACATTTGGGTTCGTGTTAACAGTCAGCCTATTCTTACACAGAAGATGCATTGAAATTTGTCTTGTAAGGGGCTTACCTACAAATCCTTCATGTAGACTTGTGATAAGCAATGAAAAAAAATTTAACAAAAACACTTTCAGTTTATTTAATATTTTAAGTCTGTATTAAATATGCCTACATAATTCTGAGAGTTCAAGGTAGAGATTGCGGATAATTCAGCACTATGGTTGGAAAATACAGATGCAGATGGAAGGCCATTCTCCTATGACAAAATGTGGGAATGGGGAGCATAGGAACATGCACTGATTGGTTTAAAAACTGCCAAGCCAAAGGTAATAAAAGCCAGTCAATTTGGGCTACAATCCAAAAGGACTCATCACAAGATAAAACCGACCCCAGAGAGCATCCAGCAATAGCCCTCCACCCGGCAAACGGTGCTCCAGCGATTCCAAAGTCTGCCCAGGTGTCAACCACGGAGACCAACCACCACGCCCCAGACTCTGGCTCTGGGATAGACAGGTATGAACAGCCAGCTCAGATGCACAGACATGATGGCTTTCAGAATGGATCTCTTCAAACCTGGCTCACACAGCACCTTCTCACACTGACAAAGAGGAGCACTAACCCTTACGTCGAACGTGACTGACCTGGGGCAGGATCACGGAGCATCCACCCCGGCGCTCCCCCACGTGTTAGCGCCTCCCACTGGTGGGTCAGGGTACGGACCTTAGGTAGAACCGGGTGGGCATTTCCTGGGGCTGCAGAAATCGCGGCCAAGCAGGTGGCTTTAAATAACAGAGGTTTGCTCTCTTAGTTCTGGAGGCCACACGTCTGAGATCAAAAGGGCAGCGACCTCTAGAGGTTCTAGGATCCTCCTTGCCTCCATCTGGCCTCTGGAGGTCTTCCCCAGTCCTCAGCGTCTTGGCGGTGCATGCTGCATGCCAGTCTCTGCYTCCCTCCTGTGTTCTCCCCGGGCGTTATGTCTGTCTCCAAATTTTCCTCTTTTAAAGACCCCAGTCTTTGGAGTAAAGCCCACCCTAATCCAGCATGATCTCAACTTGGTGACATCTGCAAAGACTGTATTTCCATGTAAATCCCCATGTACAGGGATTAAGATTTAAACTGGGGATTAAGATTTAAACATCCA